TAGTATTACTAAATAGAAAAAATAGCTTTCTTAGAAGCTTATATATTTTTGTCCAAAAAACATTGTTAACCAAATGATATGGATTTTGTTGGTGTGTGTTAACAAATGTTAGACGCCAAAAACAGTTTTTGGTTTTTTTTTTTTCCCCTCACACTATACTAAGAGTTTAGGGTATTGGATAACTTGATACAACACTTAAATTGAATGTATTAAGTGATAATCAATTAAGTTAATTTGATAATCATAATTGATATCACTTAAAAATTTAAGTGTCTCTTAAAATGTAAACTACAAGTTTATAAAATTTTAAGTTATATGAAACTTATTTAATTCTGACTGAATTTATAAATAATAAACATAAGCGTGGACATCACTATTATAAACTCACCACCATTATCATGCCACCGCCACCACTACCACCACTACCATCAATGCTACTACCACCACCACCATGCCACCGCCACTGCCACTACCACAGCCACCACCACTGTTGGAACATGGCTTTGAAAGCTTTGGGAAAACCTTATTTTTTGCTTACTTTAAGTATTAATTAAGTGGGACCCAAGCGTTATTTTTAACATTTTTCATTGCGTTCATATTTAATGTCACGTAGTGAATAACATCGTGTATTTGGTTGCTAAAAATCATTTCCGGATGAATGAGAATTCCATGCGCATTTTCGGGTTCGTGGAAATGGCTTTAGGTGGGTTTTCTTGTCCCACATTGGAAAGGCTTGAGGTTTTGAATGGGTTTATATACCTTAGCTTGGGATACTTGGCATGGGCCTTAAAGGGTACCTAAGTTTGTGGAAGGGTGACGTTATGGGTGAAGTAAGCTAGATCCATTGGACCCAAAACAAAAAGCACACGCATGCGCCGCTACCACTGTCCGTCCGGTCAATCAGGTAGGCTGGGCTGGGCCTGGGCTTAGACACGAGTGCGTGTGTGAGGTTGAGTTGGGCTTGTCTGGCCTAATACTTATCTTTTTAGGCAAAAAATATTTGTAATTTATTTTTTTTTTTTTATTTTGTTTTCAAAATTCAAAATAAATTAGTTCAGAATTTTTCCTTCACCCAAACAGATCCCTAACAGGTTCAGACCCACCCGAACAAGTTCAAAGGGTTCAAAACAGGTTCATACCTGTTGAATTCCAATCGAATCTGTCCGAACAGGTTTCTATTTTTTGGTACCTGTTCGAACAGCCACCATTTTTGCTATAAATAGTTGGCCATTCAGCATTCACTTCCATCAAAAATTTTCCAGACTTCTTCTGTTCGTCCTCCTTTGCTCTTGCATTTGTTTCTGCATTTATTTTTAGGAAAAGAAAGGGATCCCTAACAGGTTCAGACCCACCCGAACAAGTTCAAAGGGTTCAAAACAGGTTCATACCTGTTGAATTCCAATCGAATCTGTCCGAACTGTTTCTATTTGTTTGGTACCTGTTCGAACAGCCACCATTTCTGTTATAAATAGTTGGCCATTCAGCATTCACTTCCACCAAAAATTTTCCAGACTTCTTCTGTTCGTCCTCCTTTGCCCTTGCATTTGTTTCTGCATTTATTTTTAGGGAAATAAAGAAAAAGAGTTATAGCATTGTTTTTGTTTGGTTCGTCAGACTTGATTTTGTAGTGCTCCAAATTCAAGTGTTAGTCATTGCATCCTAGGAAGTAGATGCCGTTAAAACTCGAAGCACTGGAGCGAGGGCGAAATCTACTTTAAGGAGATTGTGTCCAACACAAGCCTTGACTTTAATTTCTGTAAGCATTTAATTCGGAATTTAATTTATATAATTATTTTTGAATTATTTTATTTTGCTGTTTATTTAATTTATACATTTAATTTACACACACACACCACTGTGGGTGTAACAACCACTACTACCACCACCACCACCACCACCACTACTACTACCACCTTCATTACCATTGTCATATACACCACCATTATTTTACTATTACCACAACAATCGCCATTGTCATTATTACCACCACCACAACATCTATCCTTGACCTCTATAACTATTGGCACCATTGTCATAACCACCACCACAACCATTGGCACCGTTGTCTGAACCACCAACACAACAATCACTATTATTACACAGCCATGAACACCTCTCTTTTTTTTTTCTTTTTTTTTTTTGGTTTTTTGTTTTTTATTCAATTTGTGCAACAGTACTCTTCCACCATCACCACAATTACTATCCATCTATCTCTATTATCATTCCCATTAGCGCCATAGCTAACGTCACCACCTCCTCTTCCTCCACCACCACCACCACCACCAACTCACCATCACAATATGAGAGATACAATTTGATTCAAATTTATTCTTATACATATCAACCAATTTGTTTTTAGCTTGGCACTTAAATTTTTATCAAAGAATTTTTCAGTTTAAAAAATTTAACATTCAATTTTTAATACTTATTTTCAGTTTCAATTTTCACCATTATTAAGCACCACCTTCGTCTATTTCAACACAAAATATATTTCTCAAAAATATTTTAGTTTTCATTGTTTAGTTAAACAAAAAATAAGTAAAATATTTTTCCTTTAATTTTTTTTTGGTACAAAAATTAATTTACATGAAAAATATTTTTGAATGCAAGATACTTTATATTGAAACAAATGGAGCACAAAAGTTAAACTTGGGACTTTCACTACAATCTATATGAAAATTCTAATTTCACAGAAAAAATTAGGAAAAATTAAAAGATAAAAAAATCATAAATTTTGAATCTTATAACCAAATAAATATTAAATTTATAATTTTATCAATGTAAATCCTAATTTTTTTGATTTGTTTTCAATTTAAATCATCATAAAATTGACCAAAAATGAGTATTTTAGTCATTATAATTTATACTCAATATAAGTGTACACAAAATATCTTAAGTATAATTTTTGATTGAGTTTAATAATTAAAATGTTTTTTTAGTCATTTTTACTTAACGAAAATAGAGAAATAGTTTAGATTGAAAATAAATAAAAATATTAGATTTTAAATTGATAAAATTAAAATTTTAAGATTTATTTCATTAGAAGGTTCAAAACCTGGGGTTTATTTTGTACTTTTCTCAAAAAATTAACAAAAATTTCTCAAGAATAATTCTATGATTGGCTATTTTGCAATTAAGGTCTCGTTTGGCAACATTATTTTTTAGTTTAAAAGCTAAAAAGTTACTAATAAAATCAAAAAGCTAACAACCTATATTAAAAAGTAAAATATTCTCATTTTTCTTGACTTTTTGCACATTTTTTCGTAAAAAATCAAAAGTCATTCCAAACATACTAATTTTTTTATATCATATTTTAGCCAAAAAATTAAAAAGTTACTAATAAAACATGTTCCCAAATGAGGCCTAAGAGTCACTTGGAAGACATTTTATTTTTGAAAAATGGACTTATGTTGTGCATGGTTAAGAGATTTGATGAGAGATTTGGAACGAGAAATGAAAAAGATATGTGAAATGTAAATAAAATATATCTACATTTCACTTACTTTTATACACTTTTTTCTTTTTAAATTTAGGCTTGGTCTGGGGTACACTAAATAATACAAAAAGTCACTATCCTATTTAAGTCACATCATGTTATTTAAATCACATCACCTCTCTAACACGTCACATCAAACCAAACTCATATAAGCCAATAAGTCAAAAAGTGCACTTTTTTAGAATATCCCAAACCAACTATTCTCAAATCTCTCAACTAAACACAATATTAAATTATTTTTGAGGGAGAAGGGGTGTTTTCACTTCTTTTTTTTTTTTTAAATTATTTTTCTTCATATTTATTGCCAGGATAGCCGGTTTGCAAACTCTCACGAGCCAATGGATCAGGTCTGACTTCAACATCTACGTTTTAGGCCGAGGTCTTATTTGAGCTGGGCTAGCCCACCCAAGATAAAGCAAAAGCAATATCAAATAGGTCCTAAGGACATGCTTGATTAGTAAGATTATGGTATAGAATTAAGATTATTAGTCTATAAACTCAAAATTTCATGTTTGATTGTATACTTTATTAACCAGATTACATGTACGGTGGATATTCAATCAGACAAAATTGGCGAATTTTTAGTATTAAGAAGGATTGGGGATCATAATTTCATGTATGAAAAAAAAAACAAACAAAATGAATACATAATAAATGGTTATCCTATAAATTTAATTAGATGACTAATCCTACACTAATTTATGAGATTGTTAATCCTTTCACTATTAATCTTATTAATCAAACAAGGCGGAAGAGTATATGGAATTTTGATTTGTACCCCTTATTTCGCTACATATTTCCAAAAGAAACACCTTAGAAACACCTTTGAAACACCCCCTTGAGAAAACACTTCTGTTTTTTGAATTTTCAACAGTGGTCATCATACTAAAAAAGGAAAATGAAGGATTTTTTTCTTAATTTGTTGCTCTTGTTTCCAAAAAGATGAAAAATTAAAATTATACCATATAGTTTTTCTGGGTTATGACTTAATGAAGCCAAGTTGGCACAGCAGAGAGTCCAGATTTTGCACTTAAACGTTCCACTTGGCAGATGTAGTTAAAAAATTGATAATTTAAAAATAAAAAGTCAAAAACATCCCTCACCAATTTGTAAGTAATCATATTTTTTTAACTTATTTAACTAACAAAACTATAAACACGAATTGCACCAAACAGTTAATCACAGACTTTCAAAATAAATAAATAAATAAACTCTTAGCAATTCATATAAATGAATTGCACCAAACAGAACACCATTGAAGGTGAATGTTGGCCAATAGCAACACATCTCTAGCGATGCACGGGCAGCCAATAGTCACACCAAAGAAGCCCAAAGTCACATTCCATACAAGTCATTGGTATTATAACGTCGACAACACAAGCAAAGTCCGAACTAACTCCTAGGCATATCCCATCCTAGCCTGTTGCATAAGCGTAGAATTTGGAGACGTTGAAAGAGGAAATACCAACAGGTATTTGCTTCAGTAAAGGGGGGTGTGGGAAAGTGAGAGGACATTTGATAGCTGATTTACTTCACTGATGAGGTGTTTGGAATACATGTCTAGCGCATTTCACAAAAGTTTTACAAAATTTTCATCTACTTTCTCATACATGGAATCATCTGACAATATCATTACAGCATTTAGATTCACATGCTGGCAAAATCTGGAACATTAGCTGGTAGAGAGTGAGTTTCCAAGTGTATGTAACAACTGAAACTATCTCATGTGACAGCTCAATATTTTAAAGAAACAAACAAAACTCAAATTCTCTGGCATTGCAACAAACGGACCACAAAATAACAATACCAGCACACGTTATCATGAGACATCTAACATCTCATCGCAAAACAATTAACCACCGATAGGGCAACCAATAGTGGATTTGGGAGACCCACAAACTAGAGATCGCAGCCTCAACAATGAACATCGTCTGTTCACATGCGAATCCACTGGAAATGCCAAGGTATACTTCCAAGCCTCCGTAGGATCAAATATACAGCAAACGATTGTCACCTCCACAAGCATGCCACCACTTTAAGAACCTTCATAACCATAGCCACCATAAAAATAAATAAATAACATCCATAGGAACAAATAAAAAGTACAAAACTCAACCAACTAAAGCTAAATCATGATAGATCTAAAATTATGCCGTCAAACTACAAATATGTAGAACACTAAACTAGAACCTTTTAGGGAGATTCTTATACTGATTAAAATCTTCTAATCCATCATGAAACAAATTGAATTCAGAGAACTTTAGTAGAAACTCTTTGACAGACGCACAACGCACCATTTAGAAGTGTGATTCCACATCATTGTAGATGAAACCAATATAGCAATCATAATTCAAAATCCAGGTATCTCCCCTTCCTCTAACTCCTCCTCAGCTGGGATGAATCCAATGAATCCCTCAGGAAACACACCTTCCAAATCAAGAAAGTCATCAGGATTATTTTGCGCAATGAGATCCGAGTATGTGTCAATCAAATCTTGCTCAAAATCAAAACCCATGCCCTCAAGCACTCCAGGGTCCTTAGTCTTCAAGCTCGAGTGTATATTATCTTGGGCCACTTTTTCCAAAAATGACCCGTCTAATTTGTCATTTAATTCCTTCTCAGTTCCCTCATATTTACTGGTAATCTGGAACACGGGATCAGGTTTAACATGTTTCATGACATCCAAAATCTGAGGATCTGAACTGCCATCTTCTATTTCCTCCTCCCTAAAGGTCACACCCTTTGGAATTGGGTGATTATTGCTCTTAATCTCTGTTTTATGAGGAATAACATCCTTGACTACAAAATCATAACTATGCGAAGGGAGATAAACATGAACAACGGGATACTCCAAAATAACTAAATTGGCTAATTGTTGGCGCAGTGGAGCCTTCATGTCCAGCTCCCGGAAAGGTGCCTTGGGGCCCTGAAATAATATGATTATTTTTATTAGATTAGACATGAGACGGTGAATGGACAATAAGGAATATATCATACTGCACATCAAAGAAAGGGTAAGAAGTTGCTTAATCCAAAAGGATCAAGGGCCAACATAAATCCAATATAAATTAAGTAGCACAGCATTCACAAATAGGCTCACCTCCAACCGCAAATTCTCTTATTTTACTCTAGCCAAATTGGATCGAGGCAATTGAATTAAACATTTTTATCATATTAAAATGTCCAAATAACAGGGGCCATTGATTCTGTGGTTAAAACTCAACCTATATTAACTTTGAGGTTGTGGGTTCAAACCTGAGGGCAGCAATTTTTTTGCAAATTATGTCAAAGGTTAGATCTGTACCCAATCTTCCCATTCCATAGGACTAAAGTGGGCATACTTTCTATTAAAATGTGCAAATGTCTATTAATATACTCCTGCATGGAGTTTTATGTTGTTGTTTTTTTTGTTATTTTATTTTTAGGGGGGTATGGAGGTTGGACAAGTGGAGAGCCCAAGAGCTACGCTAAGCTGTGGATATGACCACTTACAAAATAAGTTAGAACAATAAAACACAAAGCTAACTCAGTTCACATTGAACTACCCAATGCCTCAATTCTAGCCCAATTCTAAATGCCATTAGCACCTAATGTAAATGCCTTTAGGTAGGAAACAAAAAAGCTTGAGTACAACCCAACCCAAGTGACTACCCCCTTCTTGTAAGATGGGAAAACAAAGGGAAGACCAGGCATGGTTGTTCGTCATCCTGTAATATGAGACATTTATGGTGGCCCCAACTCCCAATCTGGCAAACTTTTTTGCTCTTTACAATGTCACCCAATATTACGAGAAGAGAGATTAAACTAGCATCACACAGAAATAGTGAGAAGGAAAAAGAAACCTTGGGATATTTACGGATGAATAATTTGAGAGAGCCCAGTGTCTCCTCACAGAATTGCCTCAGCCGATGTTTCCATGGACCAGGCCTCAAATGGTTCTCAATCACTGAACAGAGAGGCGTATTTTCATCTACTCTGCAACAAAAACAATTGGATGAGGTCTGTGAGCATATATGCCAACGCTGCATTATTCACAAATGAAATACTGACAAATTGCTCAGTAAGGATGAAAGATATAGGACACAAAAGTTCTCTCAGAGATTCAAACGGGTAAAACAGCTCACCCATGGTCAATCAACACAACATCTGTTGAATGAAACCGCCACTCAATTGTCCAAGAGATGAATTTCTTCCTGTAATACATTTTAAGAAATTTAAAATTTCTTAGGAACTAAAATCTTGTTCAATGCCAATAGATATGCGATAAATAAATATAAAAAAAAAATAAAACCATGTACAAAAATTGTAATAACAAAAAAAGAATGCAATAGTTGACACTTCACAAACCAAATTGAGGCCAAGAACACCATAAGGAATACTTCAAAATGCAAAGTTTCAAGATCCTTTAGCACAAAAACCATCCCTTACCCGCTAAATGCTAAAAATAAATAATACATGAACCTCGCGTAAGGTATCTAATAATTACAAAAACCTCCCCTATAGTTTTTGAAATTACACTACTCTCCCCAATTAGAGTTGTAGTAACGACCATTTATAAAGCATCATGGACATGAACACGGGACACTAAAGCTATTTTTAAAAAATTAGGACACGGACATAAAGAGGATACAACAAAAAAATATAATTTTATATTTTTTCTTCTATATATATAATATTTAGGGGTCTAAGAAAACCCGACATAACTGAACCAACCACTCAAGACCGACTAGAATTTCAATTTTCAGTCTATTTTTCATAACTTATAGTCTGTTTCGATTTTGAAAAATTTTACACCAATATAAACCGTACCGAATGAAATATTATGTTTAAGTACTATTATATTTTAATCCTTCGAGCATTAGAACATAAAATTAGGGAGGAATATATTTATAGAACTTCCACCATTTTTCTTCATTTATTTTCGATCTGAGATTTTACAAAATTTTTATGAAACACTTTAAAATCTCAAAAGAATCCTTTCCCTATACAAAACCGACAAAACTGATAAAATAAATTGTATCATGCGGCGGTCTATTTTGGTTTCTCCACTAAAAAACTCGAAGAGTTTGGTTCAGTGTTAAATTCTCCCTTAATCCCAACCAAACCAAACCGTTTACATTCCTAATAACATTACATCCATAAAGAAACAAGTAATGAAAATCAACACTAATTTAACATTATAAAAAAATTTAAAAATTTTAAAAAAAAAATTATAAAAAAAAAAACACACTAGAGTTAAATCATTGAGAGACTAGTTGTGTGTTTCGTTAGGGCTTCAAGGATCGTTAGAAGCCAATTACTCAACTTCGCAACTGTGTTTAGCTCTATATCATTGTGTCGATGGTTTGATTTTGATATGAGTTCTATATTTTTTTTAAATTCAACCCTCATGTTTTCAAATATTATAATATAACCCCAAAATTAGCTTTGAAAATTTAAAATAAAACTCTTAATTGAAAATAGACATGCCACGTGACGTAGCCTACGCATTTCCCCTCGTGTCCCCATTGTATCCATATGTGTCTAATACGGCTACGGTGCCTATTTTCAAGTGTCGGTGCTTCATAGATGATCATTGATAGAAAATTTAATTTTAACCTTCTACTCTTATCTCTATTCTTATCCTTGTAGCAAATAATCATAACCCAAACATCCCACCCCTCAAAACCTATCCTATTATCACAACCAAACATCCCCCTACCTTTCCCTTTCCCTTTCCCCTCTCCCTTTCTCTCCAAACCTAAAAACCACCTAATTGCCATTCCCACCAATGCAAATGCCACCATCACTACTGCTTAAGGTTTTCATGACAAGTTATGATTATTGTGTCAGATAGTGCTTGCTTGGGCCCTTTGATGCTTGGAATAATCTTTTGATGGCAATGCCAAAACTAGTTTATCGCACACTTTACAAATATTTCGTTGCTATAAAGCATGGATACTTCTGAAAGGGAGTCGTGTTTGCATAATGCCCGTATTGGATATTGTCATATTGATACTCCTTGGATACTCGTGGATACATATTTGATACTTCCTAAACGTATCTGCTACTTAATATTAATTTTGAGAAATATCAAATACTTTTTTGACACTCTAAGGTCACCTATCCAAAATATTATAAAATTAAAACTGTAATAATTTTTGAATATTATTGTAGTATAATTGTTAGAATAAATATGAGAATATTTTTTCAATATTTTCTTATTTCTTACCCAAAAAGAAAATAGTCAAATTAAAATAGTACTCTACTTTTTCAAATTTTATTAAATAAACGTATCCATTTAAAAAAGTACACTAACTATTGGCTCTCAAACTAAATTCTAATTCCTAAATAATAGTTTTTCACTGTTCTTTAAGCTCATGCTCATATATAATATAATATTAAAACTATAATTTTTTTCAACAGCCATGCCCGTATCTTGTTTTTTAGATTTTGTTGTATATTGTATCGTATCAGTGTCCTATATTCATATCCACGCTTCATAGTTTCACGAACACTTTAGACCTTCTAAACACAACCTATGTGATGAATCTCTTATTAATAACAATTTTCTACATTCTTCATAACGAAACTTGTAAACTCTAAATATGTTCTAACACATTTATTTCAATGTTCTATAGTTGTTTACCATTTATTATAATGTAATTATTGTATCTTGCATTTTTTGAAAATTATCGTGTCAACCCAAGAACACGAACACGTGCATGGACATGAGTAATCGATTTTCAAAGAATTAGCAAAAATATATCTTTGTTTCCTTATATTTCACTTTAACCCCAATCGATTTTCAAAGAATTAGCAAAAATATATCTTTGTTTCCTTATATTTCACTTTAACCCCAAATCAACTTTCTAAAATTATATGTTAACCCAAAAAAAATAAAATAAAATGGTGTCCACACATGTCAATGAATTGTCCCTGGTGTGTCCCAAAAAAAAAAAAAAAAACAATTAAAAAATTGACACGCCATGTGGCATGTCAAGCACAGATACTGACACGGCACCCATCTTAGAGTGATAGCGCTTCTCAAGTGTCAGTGTGTCCATGTCATGTCCGTGTTGTGTTACATATTTGTGTTTATATGTGCTACTTAGCTTCAAAGCTTCTCTGAAGCTTTTGATGATGGGTTATTGATGATTGCATCAACTGGAAATCAATTTCCAGACAAATGTAACTGCATTTCTCCAAATGACAGGGGAGGTGTCCTTGCTCATTTTGAAACATGAGTTGGCCTCACTGTTTGTAACACCCCAAATGATGCCATGTGCCATGACCACATCCATATCCATCTTCGAATGTCCTTAAGTGAAATTAGCTATCTCATTATACAAAATACTTAAAAGTAAAGCTTGGAAATAAATAGTTAGGAAGCTTTGAACACGTAAATTTGCTTGTCAACTGTTAAGAGTTAGGAAGTAGTCACCTTTTGAACTTAGAAAGCAAGTATGTGCTACACAGAAGCATTTTTATGTGGCACGATCAAATACTTACCCTAATTTAATTACATCACAATGCACTAGAGATAGAAATATGGATTGCTAGGGTGAAAACTTCGAAGACGAATGTAATTGGTAGGAAATTTAGAATGAATACATGTGTTAAACGTAGAAGACTTAAAGCTAGAGCATACTTGGTTGAGAGAACTTAAGTGTGGGAACTTTTGGAGAACAATAGGAGTTAGGGGAATGGTTTTGACTTGAATTTAGAATGCCATAGATATTTTAGAAACCTTAACTGAGGATCTTAATAGTTTATGTCCAATGAGTAGAGCCTTTCGGACACTTTTGCCAAATATTAAGCAGGATTAATTAAACCTAATCGAGATTAATTAACTTAATGACGATAAGAGACTAATCCAGATTAATTAATACTTAGCATGATTAATTAGACTAATTGAGCGATTAGGAAGACACTTCACCCTTGAGAGACAAGTGTCCCACTTCTTGATAAAACCATAAAAAGTAGAGATAAATATTTGGATGACAACATGCCTTAGGGAGACAAGTGTCTCCATACTGATTAAAAAAAAAATAAGAAAAATTGAAGGAAAATAGAGAAAGAGCTGCTGAATTCTCAGAAATCCTTAGAAGAGAGATGAGATAGAGGAGGAGGAAAGAAACTAGAGAATTTCATTTCTTAGCTTAAAAATCAAGGAAAAATAAACATAAGGTATGAAATTCCACCCTCTTTTACATGATTTATATATTAACCAACAAGAAAATAATTTAGGATAGGTTCTTGAAAGAATAAAACTAAGGGGGAATGAAAAAGAGATGAAAAGAAGCTAGGTTAAGAAGAATTTGTAGGAATTCAATCATTTGCTTGAGTAAATCAAAGGGTTTTGTGTAGAATCTTTTAACTAAGTATCCTACATTTTTGTGTGTTTTGTATTTAAAAATATCATGTTCAGATGCCTTTAATTGAAGGAAATAGGAAGAAATAAAAGGAAACCTAGTTAGGAAATAATTTGGCTTGAAATGATTAAGAGAAAAGTGAGTTGCTGCCACTAATTCGACCAAATCTGCTTGAATAGTTGGAATTTGGATGTGAGACCACTACTACTAGAAACTAGACTTCTAGGGCTTAAATTTAGACTCAAGAATCGCCCAAAATCGAATCCGGATAAGAGAGATATGCCCATTTGAAGTTGAATCAAAAAACCAGTCGCAGACCTCGGCATGTGCAGCTCACACGTGCAGCCAGCCTTCATTTGTTACTGCAGCAATCTGCACGTGCGGCCCAGAGGCTCTGCACATGCGGCCAACAAGGCACCAGCCCAGATTTGTCCCTTTTTCATCTTTTAGACTTGTTGGGCCTCATATCGCCTAGTCAGAATATGAAATGAACTTAAATGAGACTTGAAAATTGACTGGAAAGTCCCATTAAGTGTAGTTAAAGGAATGAATTGAACCTAAACTAGCACACACTCAAATTAAAACCGAAAAGAGTAATATTATGTTGCCTTGGACCGTATTTCATTGCTTGTATTGTACTTGTGTAGGTTACATCTTTGGAAGTCATTCCCCTTTTCTAAGAGCCATCGGTGAGTAGTATTATTTCAAAGTTTCGTTCAAACTTATGTTTTGGAAAATCAAGTTATGCTATGCCTTGATATACATTGAAATGTTTTATTACAAATGGATATCCTATGTTTTTGTAACAACTATACACAGATGACATCCTCTTATTAGTCCTAGTCATTGGGGGACCGTAAGCATGCCAATGACCGTCAATTGAGATCTCCTCTATCACCTGTGGGTGGGCTTGTTTAATCAGTATCCGGGCTGACTATTCATGTGTTCCGTATACATGTTTCGTTAGATGTGCATTATCATATTTCAAAATGTTAAAGTTTTTGTTAAGCATATGGCATGCTTTGATGAAAGCCTATGATATGATATGATTCATTTTGATTAAAGCCCATGAAATGATACGCTTTGAATTGTATGGAACTTTTATATCAATAAGCTAATGTTTGGGAAAAAGTTATTGATGTCCATTCATTTAACCACTTTGTTATAGTACTATTCACTGGGCTTTGGCCCACCCCTCTCCCTTGTATGTATGTAGATGAAAGAGACGAGTCATGGAAGGTTTTGCTTCTTAAAGTTATATGTAAATGCTTGTGAGAAAGAAACTGTACTTAGCTTTGGAAGAAATGCATTTTTGAACAGTCGTACTCCTAGTAAAACAATTAAATAATGTAATCAAGAATGATGTATGTTTTATTTCATATAGTTATGCACTCCTCTAAATGGATGTTTCAAATGGACTCAATTAAAGAAATTAATAGCTTCCGCGACTCAAAATGAAAATCTTGCCCCAACTATCACAATAGTCCAACTTGTTTTGTAAGTTAGGCCCTTATTGGCCGTTCACTGCACTAACCTATTTGGGGCAGTATGGGGTCGTAACACTGTTATCTCAACTAAACTTATTTGATAGGAGGGCAGTGAAATTTAGCCAAAAGAGAAATACTACTGCAACTTCAAAAATATAGTTGGAAGTTCCTCCAGTGCAATATGGATTTTAGTTTCCTCCACTATCAAAGAAGGCCAATGGCCCAGCATTTGTACTTTGAAACACATATTCCGAAGTTCTCCTTTTATGAGTTTATTCTCTCTCTTTTTCTTCTTTTTTTTTTCTTTTTTTTTTTTTAAATGAACATAAAAGAGAGTAAAAATCCAATATAAAGGGCAAAAATTTAAAAGAAAATGAGTACAAGGCAAAGGCTACAACAAAAAAGAAAATAACTCTAACATTCCCACTATATATATAAGCCAATCTACCTCACAGAAGAAAGGAATAAAAAAATTGAGAGAAAGGGAAAGGGACATGTGACAAATTGGAGACAATGTGGAAAAGTGAGATTAAAGAGTGATTTGTCTCTCATGAGATAAATAATTACCTGTTGTTGTAAGAAGACTGATTTGTCTCTCTCTTTGACATTCCACTTGAAAGAAATAGAAGTTTTGTCCCACGACTTGCTGCGGCACTCCGAAGGCTTTTCAGATGGAAAGGAAGCCTAAAATGAGAATATTTGAACAACTTGACTCTCATTCTCTGAGCAGACTCAGACACCCTCTTAACATCCTCAAGCATATTATAATCTACACATGAAGAAAAAATTTCAAAACCATGAAAGTGGAATTCAAAGTAGAAGATAATAGCATACTTCCAAAAGAAAATTATAATTCACCTGTGTGAACTCTTTATAACTTAACAAAAGAAACAAAAGTGGTCTAACTTTATGAAGAGAATATAAACTATATATAACGGTAATCTCAAACACAAGAACAATGTTTAGAATTTAAATCCAAACAACAATCAACCTAATTATTTGCTACCTTGAAGAATGCTATAGGAATAATAAATAAATAAAATTAGAAAACTTCCCAATGAAAGCATCAAGAATCAAAGTTTGTAAAAGGAACCATGAAAACGAAAGAAGCAATATTCCACAAGCATATCACAGCCAACTGACATATATATATATATATATATTGACAGAAAATGGCAAAATTTGTCAAGCAGTTTATAGTCTTTGCTTTTTCAGAACTTCAACGAACGTTATTAAATGTGAAGCACAAATGAGGATGTGGATTACTGATACAGGATATGGGATGCGGATATGATACAATACTTATATGGTGATATGACAAAACCTAAAAAAAATAAGATGATGGTACGGCTAGGATACATTCACAAAATACAATACTTATATGGTGATATGACAAAACCTAAAAAAAATAAGATGATGGTACGGCTAGGATACATTCACAAAATATATATATATATATATATATTAATGTATTATATATAAGCTCAAAAAATGGTGAAAAAGAATTAGTAAGAATTATGTAACAGTTTAAAAGGATTCGTGCAGCCAACCCCACTTGAAACTTGGTGGGCGTTTGGGGTAATGATTAAAAAAAAAGGCAGCTTTTGCTAAAAAGGCCAAGAAGTCAAAAAAGCTACTAAGTTGTTTGTCATCAGCTGAAAAAGTCAAATTTACATCAATTTTTTTCACTCACAAACACACTAGCATTTTTAGTAACTTCCCAAACACGCTAGCTTTTGTAGCTTCTAAAAAAAGCCAAAAATATCACTAAAAAAGCCAACCCCAAACCCACCCACCCTTAGTTTGGTTTATATACTAGTTTCCTAGTCGGTTGTTAGTTTATATTTCTTTTCATTAAGTCCTATAAAAATTTCATTTCAATATTAAATCTAAAATGTTTATATTGCCCTTGTACTTCTCATTCTTACATTTCTTAAGAGTGTTGTACACAAATTCATTTTCTCGTTTAATTGTTGAAATTCGATTTTAGTATTGTCAGTACATGGGCTTATCTTCATTACGTGTCATTCACATGTCACCACAAATTTGCTTAGGATGATAGGATCTCACAATCTCTAGGATCCACATGTAGGATCCACCTCCCGATCCACATATAGGATCCCACCTCTAGATCCAAATGTAGGATCCATCTCTCTCAATCCACAAGTATGATCAGGTCTCCAATTTGCATGTAGCATCCCACTTCTCCCAAGATCTAAGTCCACTACCAAGTGAGATTGATCATGTACGCGATCCATCTCTAACTACACTTAGTTCCAAAATAACCTCGGCCAGGAGCAGGGCTTAGGAGCTCCACTAGGGATCATTAAAGGACCTGTAGAGGTGAGGGATCATCAAGGTCCCTGCTCAGGGACACTTGACTGGTCTTAGATGAGAGAGGTTTCACCACTGCAACCAGTAGCCTGTAACTATGACGTGTATATCTTGCATGCTCGACATTCGTACCATGGCTCGTAATATTATCATATGCATGATACTGTTGCACGGACACAAAAGATCCACTGGTCCCCCGACGCTATCAGGATCCAATGACTTCTCTTGACAATGTCAAGAGATCCCTCCCTATATAAAGGAGTCTCCATTAAACAATGTATCAAGCCATCAACACATGTCATACAAATCTCTCTCTCTCTCTCTCTCTCAAGCATAGCAAACCTCCATTGTCACCCTCTCTCTTCTAAGATTGCTTCAGCTCTCTCCTCTACCTCCAGTGATCCCGAGTCATCTAAGTGTCTACCATCTTTCCAAATCAGCTCGTTTGGCCACATCGGACACGATTATCCACAAGTATCATTATATTTTTTTGCATATCTAAGAATTATGAAAAGTATTGAAAAATTATTGTTATATTTATCCTAACAATTACTACAATGCTATTCAAGAATTATTACACGCTCAATTTCATAATAGTTCAGATACAAAACCTAGGTATCCAAAAAGTATTTAATACCTCTCAACATTAGAGATAATTGATTACAAATATTGGATTTGTGCCCACAAGTATGAAGCATGGCTTCTTCGATAAACATATAGAACCCATACCGAGTACTGATATTTCGTATGGTATTTCAGCATATATACTGAATTTTTTCTTCTTAATTATTGTCGTACCCTAGACGTATCTAGTGTATACCCAAGTCATAGTCGAAACAATATTTTCTTCTAATACATAGATAAAATTAGTTTCATTGGAATTTATTTATGTATTTATTTCAATGCTTAGTATGATTTTAAAATTAAGCTATCGTTTGTATATTATTTAATATAATGATATTTAATTTTGATTTATACCTTTACTTTTTGGCGTTAAATGTGAATTGTAGATTGGATCTTAACAAACTAAACAATATAATTAATTTTTGTGTTACCCAAATCAAAAATAAATATTTTTTACAAATGTACGCAGCCATACCTGTACCATAGTTATTTTAGATTTCACCATATCAACCATATCATACGAATACTCATACCCGTATACATGCTTCATATAGTATCAATATCTGATACAGATACAACTCCAAAGTATTTAGGTTATTAAAGTTTGAAGAACTGCCAAAAATCTGAAAGGGGTTTAAAAAACATGATAGGGATAATGAATTTTGAGGAGAAATATGGAATTTGGTACCGGATAGGAGGAGATTATCATCGAAGTGAGAGAGAGGAACGAAGTGAGTCTGTTGGCGCTTTCCAGTACAAGCAGTGCGCTCTTTGTGAGCTTTGACGCAAGGAAGACTACAGGAGCGTATAGAGCAACCTGGACATTTGTATTTTGACGCCTCCACTTTGCACTCTTCGCATACAACTGACTCTTTGGGGTTTGGGTTCCTCGATGCTGCTGTATCTTTTGCTTCCTCCATTGACAGACACAGAGACAGTGTTAGGGCTAATGGATTGGGGGAGTTTATTAGGGTTTTGGAGGAAGTCTGCTACTCTTGCTTCTGCTTATAAACGTGTTGAAAACAATGTTGCTGTTGATAATGATGATTTTGCCGCAAAACGTCCAACGTTTCGTCCGTTTTTTTTTTAAAAAAAGGAAAATAATTAAAGCCTCATTAAATATAACAATAAATAAATAAGTAAATTGCATCGATATCCCTTGAGTTTTAGATTTGATACAAATTTTCTTACACATTTTAAAAATTACATTGTATCCATGTTAGTATTTGTCTAATGTCAAAATTAATAGTTAAAATAAATTAACCAAATTATCTTTGTTAATCAAAATTTAAATTAAGTTCAAAATTGAACAAAATCATTGTTAATCAAAATTTAAATCAAATTGAAGTTGTAGAATCGCTAATTTGACAAAGAATGCTTGTTGAGCTTATCCGAATTGGATAGTTCCATTAAAAATATTTGGAAAAATGTTAAGTGAGAGGTTGATCATTTCCATTGTACCATTTTCTTTTCATCATCGACAACCCCCATCATTTCCCTTCATTTACTCCTTTGCAACTTCGTCGGTCAACCCTCACCATCACATCCACCACTACAATCCTTTCCCAAACCCTTCTTTTTTATCCAATTCCTTCTATACCCTTTTAACTACTCTAGTCCCTCCCTACCACCTAAGCCTCTCTCTAACCATACTCACCACCGCAACCCCCCTTTTCAACCCTTCCACTTTCCGTTCACGCCAACATTCTTTCTCTATCTTAACCAACTATCAAGGATCCTTCCTCTACGCTTTGCTATCCAAAATTTGGATTGGATCTCCAAATTGAAAGAGATAAACCTGGATAGTGATGATTGTGATATGATCACTATGGCTGAGTAAGGAATTTGTAAAATTTGATCCGATTTGAATCCGTAGTTCGGTTCCGGATTGAAAAATTAAAAATTCATAGTCCACGGATCGGTTCTAGATTGAACCTCTCGGTTTCAGATTGAAATTGGTCCGGACCGTATATAAATAACCTATGTTTATATTATACACCCCCACATAGTATCTTTTCTTATTTTATGTAAAACCTAAACCCGTATAATATCTTATTTTATTGTTTTTGTTTGTTGGTTTTTAGTTTTAATTTGTAATTATCTAAATATTTACAGTGGAACCAGTTTGCTTATGCTTATTTAAATTCTAAAACGGTATGTCGTTATTATGGAAAGAAGTATTGCTATTGTGGAACTAATATGATATTATGTTTATGTGTTTTATGAAATTAAAATGTTCTATATATTTTTTTGTTATTTAAATATGTGAATCTGTGGTCCTAAGCCGATCTAATCCGTGTCTAAATAGATTGGTTTGGATTGGTTTCACGATTTAAACGGATTGAATTGGTTTCACGATTTAAACAGATTGAATTGGTTCCATGATTTAAATGGGTTGGATTGATTTCAATTTTTCAGGAATCATAAATAACGGATTGATCTTGATTTTATTCTAATCCAGACTATACTCACCCCTAATGATCACTAGGATTGCAATGATTGTGGTGGAAAAGTGGCTAGCAGCAACTTTCGAGATTGTTAAGCGTCAACGGGGTTGCGTTGGTGCGTTTTGGTGGATGGAAAATGGTATAGGAGGTCAATAATGACTATATAGAGGAAAGATGAGGAAAAGGGAGATAAGTAGAGAAGGGGCTATCGATTGGTGGGGTTTTTAGAGATGGTGGAATAAAAGAACGGAATGATGAAAAGAAAAAAAAATTGTAATTTAACATAGTAAACGAAATGATGAAGAGGAAAAAAAATTGTAATTTAACATAGATTCTCCCTTATTTACATGTTTTTATGTCTATTCTCTCTTCTTTAATTTTTCAATTTTTTGAAAATACAAAAAATAATTTAATAATTTTTAACTTTTAAACTAAAAATTCGCCTATCCAAACAAGGCCTCAATCCACTCATTCACAATCCAATCATCCCATATAATAAACAAGGCCTGATGTGTATACAAACATATAAACAGAGTCCCCTACCCTACCCAAACAAGGCCTCAATCCACTCATTCGGGACCTTTTCCCAAAATAAGCTAAAATATCAACCTATTTCCCAAACTAGGCATAGTTTAGATAGATTTCTCAAAATAAGCTGAAACGCTATTACAAACCACGCTTTCACCGTTTTTGTGATTCTACCGCGAAAAATTTGTGAAATCGTAAAAGCGTGGTTAATTAAGAACGCGTAGTTATAAATTACGCTTTTAAGGAAATCTGTTTTGTGAAGAGAGCGTGATTAGAAACCACGCTTTTAAATAAAATTGTTTTGTAACCAAAATATAAGACAAGTAGGGAGGTAGCTCAAATGGTAGTGCTCTTCATAGGAGAGGTATGGGGTTCAATCCTTCACATCTCCAAACTCTTGTTTTTTCAAATTCAATTCAATTTTTTCCTTTTTCCTTATGTAATTTTTTTTTTATCAAAAAAAGTAAAACATTTGTTTGGTTAACTAATATTTATATTTAAAATAAAAAATAATTTTTTTAATATTTAAAATTATATTTAAAATATTAAAAAAATACAACACATAAATATTTATTTAGGGAGGTAGCTCAAATGGTAGTGCTCTTCATAGGAGAGGTATGGGGTTCAATCCTTCACATCTCCAAACTCTTGTTTTTTCGAATTCAATTCAATTTTTTCCTTTTTCCTTATGTAATTTTTTTTTTTATCAAAAAAAGTAAAACATTTGTTTGGTTAACTAATATTTATATTTAAAATAAAAAATAATTTTTTTAATATTTAAAATATTAAAAAAATATAACACATAAATTTATGAAATATAGTACACATTAAAATAAATAAATAAATAAATATCTACGTGTTGTATTTTTTTTAATATTTTAAATATTAAATTTGAAAAAAGCAAGAGTTTGGAGATGTGAGGAATTGAACCCCATACATCTCCTATGAAAAGGAGGAGTAGTGCTCCTCCCTACTTGTCTTATATTTTGGTTACAAAATAATTTTATTTAAAAGTGTAATTTCTAATCATACTTTCCTCACAAAAACATATTTTCTTAAAAATGTGAATTATAATCACGTTTTTATAATTTCACAAATTTTTTACGATAAGACCACAAAAACAATAAAAACATGATTTATAATAACGTTTCAATTTATTTTGAGAAATCGGTCCAAACTCTTTTAAAAACTAGGTTGGTATTTTTCCTTGTTTTGGGAAAAGCCCCCATAATAAGCAATCAACGTTCTTCATTTGCTTAACGTGACGCCCACGCCCCACTCACCCCCACCACGCAAATTCTTTTTCTTCTCTTCGAAGCGAAGAATCGAAAGTTGTGAGAGATACAGAAGACAACTTCACTTTCAGATCTCATAGCACGAAAGTTCTCTCAGAATCAGATCTCTCGAGTCTCGCTTTCCACCAAGTCTTGGAGCAAATCCGAGACCTTTAGCTTATTATTTCCTTATTGTTTATTGATCGATCATATTCTTTAGCGGGTATGCGTTCTTTGATCTTTTACATATATATATATATATTACATTTCTTATTTATTTCCTTACGATGGTTTGTCTTCGAATTCATAAAATTCCACGACTATTATCGTGATTCAATACCGTCTCGTTTGGATTTGTAGTTTTTCTACTGCTTGGAGTATTTAATTCAAATTACTGATTTAAAATTTGAGAAATTTGATGTGGGTTTTCGTTGTGCAGCGTAGATCCGCTGATTCTGTATGAATTTTTATTTGAAAGTTTTACTTTTTAGTTGGCATGCAAGGTATTCCCATTTTCGTTTTGATTTAGATATGATATGAATAAATCTTGGTTACAGCATATCCAATGTAAATGCTGCAATTTGGGTTCCATTGTATGGATCTGGTCTTGATTAAGTCTTTATGGACTTATATAAATATAAGCATACATCATATTCCCAACATTATAAGGAAGCAATCATGATCATGATTTTAACAATGTGAATGCTGCAATTAGTGTAATTAGTAAGACTTTATGGTGATAAGACTTGTAAAGGTAGCATACATCCTATGCCCAATGTTAGCAACCATTTCTTTATGGTATTTGTATCCTCTCTTTCTATATAAAACTGTGGAGGGTGATGATTATGCTTATGACAACTCCTCCCCCTCTTCTTATCCTTTAGTTGAAACCCCAATAAAATCTCAAATATAATTCCTTATTATGTTTTCCTCACATTCTCTTTCCTGTGTGAGAACCAAGATGGTTGAGGGAGTGCCCACTGTGTGTTTGAAAATAAAAAAGTTTATTTTAAAGTGATCAACGCATCTAGGTTATATAGGAAGTGTTTGTTTCTAACCCAAATGCTCTGTACAAGTGTCCATCATATCTGGCTCAGATCTAGAGGGTTAAAGATTCCTTAAATAATAATGCTTTAGTTTAATTTGTTAACTGTTAAAGTTGAACATCAACTTTTCTACTCGGAAGTGTTTATATGGTCAACAATATTCTTTCGCTTCATTCATCCATTGTCTGATGTGGGTACATGTAGCTCATCCCTCTTTTGATTTGCATGTTTTTTAATGTCAATTTGCCAATCTGCAGTGCTTTGTCTTCCTTGTATTACCATCAAACATGTGGAGATTCAAACCATTCATGTCCAAAGAACAAACTGGTCTTGAAGGTCGCACCATTGACGTTGGAAATTTGAAAGTTCATGTCCGCAATGCCATTGCTGAGGGTGGATTCTCTTGTGTCTACTTAGCTCGGGATGCAATACACAGTTCAAAGCAGTATGCCTTAAAACATATCATATGTAATGATGAGGAATCTCTGGAAGTTGTGATGAAAGAAATATCTGTGATGAAATCTCTTAGAGGACACCCTAATGTTGTCACGCTTTATGCCCATACCATATTTGACATGGGACGGACAAAGGAAGCAGTCCTTGTGATGGAATGTTGTGAGAAGTCCCTGGTTAATGTGCTGGAGAGCAGAGGAGTTGGATATTTTGAGGAGAAACAAATCCTTGTAATATTTAGGGATGTCTGTAATGCAGTCTTTGCAATGCACTGCCAGTCTCCACCCATTGCTCACCGGTAAAGATAGTATATAATTGGTTCAAATATTTTCCATTCAGTGTTCTCTGTAGATTGTTAGAAACTTCTTTTCTATTCTTGATGGTTTGGTTGGCCTGCAAGTATTCTTTTGGAATGGTACCAAGTTTGGTTTATGAGTAATTAGGGATTTCATTGGGCAATATTGCAGAATGGTAGTTAACTGGTTTTTTTTACTCTTATAATTTGATAACTACGTTACTGGTACCTTTTGTTCATGGTTCATTGTTGGTTTATGAGTAGTTAGGGTTTTCATTGGGCAGTATTGCAGTATGGTAGTTAACTGTTTCTTTTTCTTTATTTATTTATTTATTTTTAAACTCTTATAATTTGATAACTAGATTACTGGTAGTTTAGCTCTACAATTTATTTTGACTTTCATCCTATTCTGCCAGTCTTCTTATTTGCATGAAGCAATTTTGTAATATATTACCACATGGGAATGTGGGACAATGGAAAGTTTGAATTCCTATATGTTACTAGCTGTAAATATTTCAGCACTATCTTTTTTAGCTGCAAAATAAACAAATGAAATTTGAATAAACTAAATACGATATTATATTTTCTTGTTTGTTGAAATTCACCTGTCCTTTCTTTTTATGTGGTTTGCCAGGAGTTTTTCTGTTGCAATTTAATGATTTAATGACTTGCCTTAAAAATTTCCTGCTTTAGAGACTTGAAGGCTGAGAATGTTCTGCTGGGGTCTGATGGTTTATGGAAATTATGTGATTTTGGAAGTTCCTCTACCAATCACAAGCGGTTTGAGAAGCCTGAAGAAATGGGTATAGAAGAAGACAATATCCGGAAGCACACAACACCTGCCTATAGAGCCCCTGAGGTTTAATCAAGTACTTTTCTTTTGATGAATAATAGTGATCTCAGTGGTATAAATGTTAACTCTTGTCTTGTTCTTTTCTTGACTCAGATGTGGGATTTGTTCCTGAGAGAAGTCATAAATGAGAAGGTGGATATTTGGGTAAGTTGTTGTACCGTGTTAAATCTGTTTGATGGATCTGGAAACAGTTTGACCTTCTCTATGTGCCTTACAGGATTAAGCTTTTGTAATTTTTGGCGTACGCTGAAGTTATTGTCTTATTTTGCAGGCACTAGGGTGTCTTCTCTTTCGCATATGCTACTTCAAGTCTGCATTTGATGGTGAATCAAAGCTACAAATCTTAAATGGGAACTACCGCATTCCAGAGTTACCAAAATACAGCTCATCGATTACAGACCTAATCAGAGATATGCTTCAATCTTCACCAGATGCCAGACCAGACATCACGCAGGCAAGCGCTTTGCTTGATTGGCCATTCATCTGCATGAACTTGGGTTAGTTTTAGATCATCATGGTCTTGGCACTAATAGGTGGCAAAACCATCTATATGCTTACTGATGTCCTTTTTCTTTTGTTTGGTGGCAGGTTTGGTTTCGTGTTAATGATTTATTACCAGATGGGTTGCAGAAATCATTACCTGAAGGGTCACCAGAGATGCACCAATCAGGTACTGACATACATGAAGGTGAGGACGTTATCCTTGTGCAAATAATTTTTAGGCATTAGGACTTATGAGACTAAATGTTCTTCGTGAATAATTTACTATGTTTGATTAGAGTTTCAAAAAGATTCAAACTGGTTTGAAATTGGGGTGAATGCCAAGTTGTGATTTAAAAATTCTAAAGGACAAAATAATGGGCGAAGTCCAAGATTTCCATATTTGTCATTTGATTGGATTGGAATCTGTGTTACCTAGAACATGGATCGTTCTAGTATGAGAAATGGGAATACGAACGTGTTACGCCACATGCTCTAGAATGTGGAACGATTGGGGTAGACTTTTTAATTGACATCCAGTTAGTGTATTTTTCTTCAAATTAATCATTCAACAATGAGCATTATGACCCATTGTTTTGCATTTCGTCAATTCAAAACTCCACTCTATGTAGATTTTAGATCTTTATATTTGATTTTTTATTTTTATTTTTCTTTGTCTACTGAGAACTTTTAATGAAAAATATGAAAAAATTATGGGATTGCTTTGCATTGCTAAATTCACCGTTTTGGGAAGTGTACCATGTTTCGGAATGTGCGCTTCAAAACATAAATCACTATGGTGTTGGCGATTTCTGGTATCGCTGATTGGAACGATGTTTAAAATATTTATATTTAAAACTTTGCTTCTAGTTCCAGTATTTTGATAGTTATTGCTTGTTTATCAGGGGTTCCAAAACCTATAAATAAATCCTATCTAATGCCGCATAGAAGTCCACTGCACCCACCAACTGCAGAACCTACTCATTATGCATCACCACCACCAGTTAATAATTCTAGGGCAGGTGGAGGGGCACTTGGTGTTTTCTGGTCCACGCAGCATGCTATGGATTTGTTTGTTGCAGAAGACAAAATAGGGACCACATTTGACGAAGAGCCAAGTAACCCTAACACAACAAGACATGATAAGATTCTCCCAGAGAAGCAGGATTTTAGGCATAATACTAGCTCGCCAAAAGAGGAAAATATTCATGCTCGTCCTGTCCCAAAAAATGTGCATGGAAAATCTGTCAACAGATCTGAGGATGATTCAGGCCATGTTTCCAGAAGGCCAAAGGCGTCAATTTCTGAGAGCTCACGTATTTTTCAGAATGAGGCATTCAACACGTTTGTTGCTGAATTTGATACAAATAAACTCAGTCCAGGAATCAGCAATAAGAAATCACGGAACGAAGAAGAATTGCAGGCTGACATTGGAAGGTTGAAACAACAGTTGCAGCAAGTTAATGTGGAGAAGGCTGAAATAACTTCGAAATATGAAAAGCTTTCTTCCATTTGCCGATCTCAGAGACAGGAGATACAAGAGCTTAAGCAAGGTCTTGCAGCAGCTAGAGTTCAAGCACCAAATAGAGAAGCTTCAAAAGACAAAGCATCTCCTGGAACTCAACCCTCTGCCACCACACTGGTATCTTCTCCCTGCCATCCTTAAAAATTGTATTAACTAATTTGGGTAAATTTTCCCTGAGATTTGGAGAAAATGCAGTAAGCCTCATAAGTTTGGCATAATTACATTGAGTTCCCTTAAAGTTTTATTTCACACAACACTTGGCCCCTTTTTTTTCATCTATAATTTGTCAATCATATGGATGGAAAATGATTTCGTCGTATCTTTTAGACTGAAATGCATATTTTACCTTGTTTATACTTGTATCTTCACACCATCTGTATTAGTTCTGGTCCCTTTAGCTTTACTAAAAGGGAGGTCGATGTGATTAAGTTAAAACTACGAGGCTTGCTATATTTTCTCCATACCTCAGGGGAGGGGAGGTCAATGTAATTTACCCTATTAATTTTCTATTTAGAATAGCACGAGTGAATTGCAGTTGTTTTCATTATAATTTCAGCAAAAGGAGAAAATTGAAGGAACAGTTTTTGAACTCCAACAAGGATTATTTGACAATAATTCCGCAAGTCCAGAACCTAAGCCATGGCAAGCTTTCCCTGAAGATCCCATGCCACAATCAATATCAATGAACAATTCCAGATCTGTTAGAACTAGCAATGGTCACCAGAACAAACAGTCTACTCAAGGACTGCCAGGCAGCAGCGACACATGGGGTTTTGGAATGGATAGCTTCACAGCTGTTCCTGCTGCTTCCTCTCAGATTTATAGACCGAGTAATGAATTAAATAGTTCTCAGTGCTTTGGCGAGTCAAAGAACATAGATAACAAGTTGGCTTCTCAACCTGCTGGATGGGCTGGTTTCTGATGTATGTTGCTATCTGTGGAAGCTAGAGGTACTACTTGATATGGTTTTTTTTCTTTTACCCTGATAAATGTTATATCTTCTTTGCCGAAATGTTTGCAGGATGAGTTCAAGAGGAAAAAAATAGCGAATATATGGCTTAATAGGCTTGTTTTGTGCTATCCGAGAGTTATATATCAGAACATTGATGTTGGCTTCGCCTATTCATTTATTGGTTGACAAGTGATTACTTCACTGCACGTCCCTGTCCTCAGCAGTTTACAATTTTATGAGATAATGTATTCTTTTGGAAATTATATCACACCCCTTCAAGTTTCTAATCTTTTTATGACTCGTGTTATTAATAAATTATCAAGCTAATTAATTGTTTTTAATGATGTTAGAAATATATTTCAACTAACAATTCAAATAATTTTATTGCTGTATAGGAGAGTATTTCACTTTTTTTTTTTTGGTTAATTTTGTTAAATAATTTTTTTTATTGAGGCGTATTTATAATTTCCAAAAGTACATGGCATGTATTTGTAATTTATCCTTTTATTTTCTGTCTTTATTGTTTGAGGAGGGGGCTGGGGTAAAATTCATGTGCGAGTGCGAGCCTTGTGTGTGGTTGTCTCTAACATTATTTTCGGAGTATATTTTAACAATAATGATATGGAGTTCTAATTTTGAAGCTCTAAAGATGGTTCTAGTGATGTGGTAAAAGAAAAAAAAAAATATAGACACATCACGTCATATGTAGGTTATACTCTTTGCCACATCATTAATTTTTTTTTTATAGTTTCAAATTAGAGTTCGCAATATTTATTTATATTTTTAACCCTTTTTTTATAGTTTCAAATTAGAGTTCGCAATATTTATTTATATTTTTAACCCCAAATTTGCCAACAATTTTCAAGTTGAACTTGCGTTTTTTTTGGATTTGATCTCATTCTGGTTTTTTGGGTTTGCTTTTTGCCTTTTGGATGCTGCATAAAAACCAGTTAAAAAGCAACACAGAACCTGTGATGATATTTTATTTAGGCCTCATTTGGGGACTAGCCGGTTTAGTTAAAAAGTCAAAAAGTTATTAAAAAAATTAAAAAGTCAACAACTTATACTAAAAAGTTAAAGATTTTCTTTTCTCTTTACTTTTTGCACATCTTTTCGTAAAAAGTTAAAAAGTTATTCCAAACATACTAGTTTTTTTTAGTTCATATTTTAGCTAAATAGTCAAAAAGTTACTAAGTGGGTGTTTGGCAGAACTTAATTTCAACTTAAATCAACTTTTGACTTAAATTAAGCTGTTATGGTGTGTTTGGTACAACTTACGGACATAGATTATGGCTTAATTTAAGCCAAATTTGACTTAAAAGTTGAAATTGCTCGCGAGGTGCTTAAAAAAACGACTTATGCGCACAGTTGTTTGGAGAGGGGCAAAATGACTTAAATGCCCCTCTAAAACTTAAGTAATAACGAAAATGCCACTATATAAACCATTTCTCACTCATTCTTCCTCTCTCACACAAACGAGAGAGGCGATTTCCGGCGAGCTAAGCGATTTCTGGCTCTCTCTCTCTCTCTCTCTCTCCCTCCCTCTCTCTCTCTCTCCCTTCGCGAACCCGTCTCCTTCTTCGCGATCGCGATCTGCACCATCGCGATCTACCATTTACGCCGGTTGATCTGTACCATCTGCCCTAGCGCCGGTTGATCTGCACCGTGTCTCCCCCTTCGCGAACTCGTCTCCCTCTTCGCGATCGCGATCTGCCATCTGCACCGGTTGATCTGCACCATCTGCCCTAGCGGCGGTTGATTTGCACCATCTGCCATCGCGATCTGAATGAAACCCTAGCACCGGTTCATCCCGCCGGAGCTAGGGTTTTCATTATTTTTTTTTTGAGGTTTTTTAGTGTTTTTTTAATAAAAAATAAATAAAATAATTAATGAATAAAAAATAATAATTGACGCTAATTAATTGAGACTAATTAATTTAAAATGAAAAAATGAAAAAAATTTATATTAATTGATACTATTAATAAGAATATTGATGAATATATGTAATTGATGGAAAAATTAATAATAATTGATAATATTAATATATGTAATTTATGTAATAATTGATGAAAAAAATTAATATTGATGAATATATGTAATTTATATTAATTGATGGAAAAATTGATAAATTAATATAAATTGATGAATATATGTAAATTGATAAATTAATATAAATTGATACATTAATATAAAGAATAATAATGATACATTAATAACGATACATTACTATAAAGAAAAAATGAGATATTACTAAAAATAATTAAAATGAATAATAATAATAATAATAATAATAATAATAATAATAATAATTGGAAAAAAAAAATTAGTGTTCGTTTGATAAATGACTTTTTTTACTGGCTTTTGTGTTAAAATATGAGATAAAAAAATAATAGGTTTAAAAATAATTTTTTATAAAAAAACGTATAAAAAATAGGGTGAATGAAATGGTTTTTTTACTTTTTTGGCATAAGTTAAAATTTACTAACTTTTTAATTCTTTTTACTAAAATAATCACTTGCCAAATGAAACTTGGAAAATAATTTTTGGCCCACACATCATAAAAAACTTTAATATAATGGTAATATATGTTATTGGTACCACCATTCAATCATTTCTTATTTTTATCCTCAGTATATATATATATATATATAGCAAAGCAATTCATGTTGAAAAATAGAATTGACCCTCTTCATCATGTACTTTATTAGTTGTTGCTGTCATTGATATTATCGTTACATTAAAACCTTGTTTGAGAACTTTTTATTTTAGCAAAAAAGTTAAAAAATTATTAAATTAGTCAAAAAGTTAACAATTCATATTAAAAAGTCAAAAATTTTCTTTTCTCTCTATTTTTTGCACATCTTTTCGTAAAAAGTCATTCTAAACATATTAGTTTTTTTTAATTCATATTTTAGCCAAATAGTCAAAAAGTTACTAAATTAGCATGTTCTCAAACGAAAGATTTATTTAATATATATATATATATATATATGATTAAATTCATTTTATCCCATTTTGGATTAAAATGTTACCATTAATTTTTTCATTCAAATTAACGAAAGGTGTATAGCACACCAATTTTGAGAGTGAGTTTGATTTTTTTAAAAAACAAATTGAAATTGATACAACAAAAATATAATTATATCCCTATTTTCTTCATGCTTAAAATTAGATTAATATGTTAATTAAAATAAAATAAAATTAAGGATTGATTTAAAATATAATTAAATAAAAATATAAAATAATAATAATTAAGAATTGATCTAAAATATAATTAAATTAAAATTAAAATTAGATTAACATGTTAAGAATTACAATAAATAATTGAGAATTTAGGATTAATTGTGATCTAAAATATAATTAAATTAAAAGTAGAATAAAAAGTTAAGAATTACAATAAATAATTAAGAATTTATAATTAATTGTGATTTAATTGAATTAATATTAGATACTATTATGAATTATGTGCATAAGAGATGAGAGAGAAAAATAATAAAAAAAGGTAGAATTTAAGAGTATTATAGTCATTTCACATCTATAATGTTATCAGTTTCATTTTGGTCTAAAACCACATGGGGTTTTATTCTCTCCCCCAACCACCATCCTTCCTCAACCCTCATCAATACAGATGTAAGAAAAATCGAAAAAATCAATCAAACTGATTGAACCAGACTAAATCAGCCATATTTGGTCTATTTTTTAATAATAATTAGTCTATGCAAGTTTTTAATTTGATTTTTTTTAATATTTGGTTCGTTATCGGCTTAAGTATCTTATGCATCGAACTAAATCGAAACCGACCGTTTCAACATATGTTATATTTATAATATATACTAGTGGTGGGGCACGTGCATTGCACGTGACACGTGATTTTCATCCACTGTTTGTATTGTAATTATGCATACCTCTTAAATTGGTATATGATATGTATACAAAGTATGGAGACTTGTATAGGTAAATTGATCTGTACAACTAAGCAAAAAATGAATACATACTCGACTGAAGAATTTAAATAATGAATAAGAAATTTTATAAACATAAATATTAATTTATGAGATTACAATCTTATCTTAAACAATAAACAATAAACAATAAACAGGTCTTTTAAATATATAGCATTACACAAATATTTTTCTATCAATTTCTCACTTCAATTTTTCATAGTCCGTACCTGTAATACAATTGAAGGTATAAAATAAATTGCACAATTATATAATTTTGTTTAATAGTTCATCTCATAATACAAATTCATTGAATCCACTATTGCATATTATTTACATACTATTGGTATGATGGATATTTATAAATGTTATGTATATTAGTATAGAAATAGACACAAGAGAATAAGATAGAGTAATTGTTTTTTGTTCTTCGATCATTATTAATGTAAAAAATAGGGAGACAACTTTTAAAATGGGGAGACGTCTTTTTTTTTTTTGATAAGAAGGGAGACAATTTATTTATATTTATATTGGACTCTTAGAAGCTGATATATCATTTTTCAGTGTTCAATTCCCAAAATAAAGAAATAATTGGTTTATATAAAACTCTTCACAATTTTTAGAAAATATAGTAGATTTGATAAGAAAAAATTGGGATTTAAAAAAAGAGAAAAATAAGATAGGCTCTTCACACTTTTCTAATAATAGTAAATATATATAATTTAATAATATAATGATATTAATAAGTATAATAAATTCTTAACCTTAGTTAGGATACCCTAATTATATACAATCTTAACTCTAACTCACTTGAAACCTTAGTATTTATTATTATTTTTTTGTTTGTATTTTTTTAATTTAGAAATTGTAAATTATTTATTAAATCGATAGATTAGATATGTTTGAAATGATTGACAAATAATTAATTCAATATTTGTACATGAATGAGTGACTATACTAAAAATTGGCTTAAATTTGAAAGATCTTAAACCAATTAAACTGTATTAAATTGAACAATTTCAATTAGTACAGTTTGGTACAATTTGATGGGAGAAGCAGTTTGTATCAATACTCGATTCAGTGAAAAATTTACCTAAATACCGACCGTACTTGTAACAACCCTCATACTGTTTACTGATTAATGACTGAATGATTACCGTTAATCATTGATTACTGCGAAATGGAACTGATAATGACTGATAATTGAATCTGCTAATACTGGCTGCGACCGAAATTGAACTGAATTGAATGAAATACATCTGTTTTGAACTGCATTCTATCTGTTGATTGTTTATTTGATTTTCGATATTTTAGTGTTTTAAACTTGCTAATTGAAGGCCTTATCGGCGGCGAATCCGAAACCGATTAGTGTTCTATGACCCTCGTAATTTTATGTGATTTTATGGTATATTTATCTGAAAATTGATTAGGTATGATTAAATTAGATCAAA